CATCAACACCACACTCTCCCGAGTGAGCCACGGGCCAGCCCATCTCTTATGTTTTAGATTCCTGGCAATTTTAATATTTCACAAGTGGTCTTAGTGCTGTCTTTAAGTGAAAAGCTTGACATATTGTTAACATTGTTATCTTCAACCCATGTCAGCTCTCCCCTAAAAACTTGAGATTTTGGTGGTGATTTAATTGGTGTTTAGATTCACTCCAAGGTGGTTTAGAATGAATTATCTTGATCTGCCATTTAAAGATCTTGCCAGGGAAGAAATCATATGACTGTTTAATCTCTCTCCACATTTGTCCTGTTTACTTTTACATGGTTAGTACTATATGTTGAATATAGTGAAGCGTTGCTTTTGAAGAAAAAAAGTAAAATTGCCCCATTTATTCTGAATCCTAGGGCTCCAGTACAAGTCATCCACAGATCAGGAGCACCAGTTCTATCCCTGCTGAATTTCAGAGATGGATTCATTGCTAGCCAAGGTGGGTCCAGGGGCCAAGTGAGAAAGATGATTCCATATAGTTCAAGATCTATGGCTGGGTTGGGGCGTGGTCCTCCATGATTCCTTGGCATATTGTGCTTATCACATAATGTTTATATCACTGTACATTGTAATTATATTTGTCCCCCTTCAGGCCAAGCTTCTTGCGAATAGTGATCTGCCTTATTCATTGTGTTATCCTCAGCATTTAGCTCAATGCCCACTATGGAGTAGGTGCTCCATAAACATTGGTAGAGTAAATATATGGGCCCTTATTGCAAAACACCAGGGATTCAATGATAAATCAGTGACAGTCTCTGCCCTGAGGGAGCTCACAGTTGGTAAGACAGACAGACATGTGAGCATGTGATTGTGTTTGGTAAGTGCTACTGTGGAATACAGCAGAGGAGCATGGAGAATAGCTAGTTTTAGTTTTAAGAGTGCTGTCAGTGAGTCTTCATGGACCAGGTGACATGTAAGCTGATGATTTCACAAACTGGAGGTGTAAAGGTGGACTTTGATGGCTGAAGCTGTAGTGTGTGCAAAGTCATAGATGAGGGAAAGGGGGCAAAAAGGAAGGGAACTAGCATTTACTGAGTTCCTGCTATGTTGTAGGCACTGTGTTTGATGCTTTACATACATATTATAGGTAAAGTGAGTAACTTGGTATAGGCAGGACAAAACATTTGAAGTGGAGTTGGGAAATGCATGGAACAAAGTGTACATTAAGGGACACTGTTGATCCTCAGAATGATAAAGGTGAGGAGGGACCACCTAACCTGAGTATTTCAGTGTATCAGTTTGGATGTGTTTGGCTGTTGGTTACAGAACACCCACCTGAACATGGCTAAAACAACGGGGAAAGTGTACTACCTCACTTAACAAGATGTCCAGGTGTATGGTGGTTTCAGATTAGATTAATTTAGCGATTCGAAAACAAAGTCTACAGAGGAAGAAAAGGAAACTTGACAATTAAATCACTGTGGTACTAGATTGGATTCAGAACATTAAAGGAAAGACTGGCAAAATCAAAATCAAGTGTAGAGGTTAGTTCATAGTAGCATACCAGTATCAGTATCTTAGACAAACGTAAGATGATAACATTCGGGAAAGCTGAAACAGACTAAGGGACCTATGCGAACTTTCTGTACTGCCTTTAACTTTTCTGTAAACCTAAAATATTCTAAAATATCAAGTGTTTTTTGTTGTTTGTTTGTTTTTTAATTTAAAAAACAAAGTTAGCAAGGAAAAAGAAACAAAATCAAGAAACCAGCTTCTTTCCATCTTTTGGCTGTCCCCTTCTTATCGTACTGGCTTTTGTCCTCATAGTACAAGATAGCAGCAGCAGCTGTCATTCACACACAACACTGGATCCTATTGTCCTGTTTAAGAATGAGGAATATTTCTTCAGGAGCTGCCCAGCAGACTTGCCAGACTTACTTCATTGGCCAGATTTATATCATACACCCATGCCTAAGGCACACACTGACAAAGAGAATGGAATTACCATAATCAAGATTCACCCTGTGGGTCATCTGTTACTAGAAACAATTTGGGATTCTGTTAGCCAGGAGGTGGTCAGGAAAATAGTTGTTGAGTAGGCCACCAGTTGAGCAGGCAGTCTGGATTGCCATGGTTCCCTCTCTGATATAGGTAGGTATTCTTCGTCACTGTCAAAATTGGTGCCTTATTTCCCCTGCCCTTCTTCAGGCTTTCCAGACCATAGCAAAGAGTAGTCAAGAATCTAAAGACCTAATTTTTTAGCTCTCTGCATTTGCTCTCTCGATGTGTTCTCCCCTGTGTGATGCCCTGTTATAGAACCTTGGTAAGAGAACAGCTGGCATAAGCTTGTGGCAGCTTTTCTTGATGCTGCTGCCACCATTCAGTGAGAGCCTTTTTCTTTGATTCCCTTTTGCTGCCAGATTTCTGGAATGAGAATTTTGCTGCCATGCCACACATTTCCCTCGAGAACTCCACAGTTTGGCCTCCATCCGCCATTCCTGTCCCTCTGCTCAAACTGTCCTCTTAAAGGACTCCAATGATGTGCTTCTTGCTAGATCCAGTGGCCTTTTCTTTGTCTCATCAGCTGTCTTGTATGGTGAGGACAAAAGCCAGCGTGCTAGGGAGGAAACAGCCAAAAGTTTTTTTGAGGGCAAGTACCATGTCTTCTTCATCTCTGTGTCTTTAGCTCTTACCCAGGACTGAGGGATCTCAGCAAATTTTTATCGAATGAATGAGTAAATATTCTTCATCTTTTGTGACTCTTAGTGCTAATGAATTTGGTCACTATTATTTCCTTCTTAAAGCTCTTGTCTCCTTTGACTTCTATGATACTATAAATTATAAATACTGTTATTTCCTGGTTATTCTCTCTATCCAGTTACTGTTCCTTTCCTTGGTTTCAATAGCTTATGTTTATAAGTACCTAGCATGATTTATGGTATACTATAGGTTCTCAAATTGGCATTGAACTTGAATCCTTTTCCTATTTCTACTATTGTTGCCATTTCTAAACCAGAGATATTTCCCGAGTTCAGCTTTTGTCTTTCTACCTTTTCTTTCTCCAAGCTTCCTCATGAACTGACTGTTCTCATGGTTTTACTATTAATGATTAGAATCTGTAGTTCTAGTCCTGACCTCCTACTTAGCTCACATTTTATTGGGCAATAGCATGATGTAGAAAGAGCATAGATTTTCGACCCAGACTGACAACTAACTCATGAGTTTAAATCCTCACTTTATCACTTAGTGTTGGATTCAACCATATAAAATTCTTAATATCTGACCATTTTTTACTTATAAAAATGGCGGCTGTATATGGTTTAATCTAGTAGTTCTGTGACCTTGGTAAACCACTTCA